GTGGCTGAGGAACATTTTCATGTAATTAGAAGGTCTGTTCAGGCTTAGCGCTTTTTAGCGCTGTCACTGCACTGAGGTTGTCTCATGTCGGACCGTAGTAATCTAGACTACTTGACCTTTTTTCGTTTCGTACAAGATGCAAAAGGAGCACCTTCTATTATCAGGAGATGCAATAGGTTGTGCTGATTCCGAATATGTGCTTTGGATAGGGTAATATTGCACGTCTGTACATACAAATAAGAATCTTTGCAGGTGTGTCATATTTGACGGTGTTTTTTGTGAATGTTCGTAAGTTAACTTACTCATCGAAGGAGTTCATTACTAGTCGATCATTATATACTATTCGATAGCGCTTTTCAAGGACTACATTTACTACTGTTCGAATTCAAAAAAGTTCACTTGTCGATTTTTGCTCAAATTTCCGCCTGAATGCCCACTGTGAATCAGCCATTTATTAAAGACATACAAAATATTATTGATAAAACTCGCAAGGAGCTATTACAATAAACTTTATCAGTTTATCAATCTAGAATTTGTTTGACATTATCTGAAAATGAGAACATCATGATGGAAACGAATGCCAATAATATAAAAATAAAACAATCAATAATTCTAAAATAATATTCGGATACTGATGAAAATTTTCAGTATACGATAAATACCGAATGGGAAAAAATATATATAAATAAAATAGATAGAAGAAGAATATTGCGTTTGACCATTTTTAATTGTTGTTGAGCATGAATAATCAGTGATAACTGAGCAAAAATTGCTCCTCGTTTTAGCGTCTAATACAAGTTTTAGATAAAAGAAAATAATAATTGGCACTGGAGTACCGTAAACGAAAAACGCCATATAAACGGAGTGATAAAGACTTGCCTTCTATATGCTGAAATTGCCTAGTTTATATAATGAAATCAATGCATAAGACCAACCTACAATCCACTAGAAAAACCTGAGACCAACATGAAGACGATACGTGTGGAAATGTGGTTTTGTGTTATTCACAATACAGAAGGTAACTATCTACCCATAGAATAACAAGTGGTCCATAGGAAATGAGCCACTTTTTGTTTTTGATTTTTCTCAGTTGTATCTCATCCATTTGAATTGATTCATACACCACAAGATGCGTCTTGAAATTCTGTACAAAAAACTTATCGAGTGTTTTATTACAAAATGAAAAAATAGATGGATATACGAAAAACACTAGAAATCCTTGAAATACCCAAACGAGTAAAAGAAAAACACTGTATAATTAGCTTCGGTCCGGCAAAGTTTTGATTTTAGCTAGACAGCAGAGCTTTTCAAAGATTTCTAGTGTTTTTCGTATATCCATCTATTTTTACATTTTGTAATAAAACACTCGATAAGTTTTTTGTACAGAATTTCAAGACGCATCTTGTGGTGTATAAATCAATTCAAATGGATGAGATACAACTGAGAAAAATCAAAAACAAAAAGTGACTCATTTTCTATGGACTTTTTGTTATACGCATGAAATTCTTGATTCACATTGTTCTTGTACTTACGTATGGAAAAAATCGATAAACCTGTTGAAAAACACGTGTTACAAGCGAATAAATTAATCACTGTATATCGTGGACAATGATGCAATAAAAGTAACGGGTTTACTCTCAGTTTGTCCCAAATTGCTCACTCTCACATTTGCCCACATCTGACCACTCCTTTGATGTTGTTTGATCTTACAAAGCCAATTTAAAACTGAGAGGACACCAAAGTAACGATATAAATACAAGTGAGAATAAAACAGTAATAACGCAGAGTGCAATTGTGAGAACTATGAAAGTTTCTTATAATACTTTTCTTTACAACAAAACCAAAAGACTGAGAGAAACCTAATATTTCTGCCGAATGTGGCCACACATGAATCAAGTCTTCTATTCTTAAAGGAAGAAAACAGAAGCTTTTTTATATAAAATTTAATGCGTAAAAAATGTAATGCGATTTCCAGAGAATCCATGTATGCAATTGTCGATGATTTTCTACTTTCTGGAAGATATGATTTTCCAAAATATTAAGGTCGATTTCCTATTGTTTGAAAAATATCGACTTTGATATTTTTGAGAGATCAAGCTCGATTTTACAAAAGATCGCCAAATGATGCCAATGGACACATTTTCGGAATCTTCCAGAAGACGTTTGCCTTAAAAAGGGAGATTTTAAAGATAGAAGTCGATCAGTTCGCGAAATGATTCATAATAACTACTTATGGAAAGCTTAAAAACTCGTTTTTTAAGGAAAACGCTTTCTGGAAACCCTCTAAAGATCCCGAAAATAGGCCTATTGGAATTTGCGTTGTTTTTTACCTATAGCTATGCTTTAATTTGAACGAGTTTCGTCATACGAATGCTGCTGTATATATCGTAGCAAAATCTATGCAGTAAGAATGAGTTATCACCTTCTGCAAGATCATATGAGCTCTTGTGATAAGAACTAAATATGAATCAACACTCTCACTAACAAATTTTTACAAGATCATACGATTTCTTGTCACTTCTTATGTGTTGATCTTGTGAGAGAGAAAAATGAGCGAGTAGAAAATCAGTAAAAAAAATTTCTAAATCGTCATATTAAAGCTGTTCTCACCTTTTCACTATCCTCAACCGTTTGATCAAAACCAGATACATTCAATTGTTTTTCATCGTTATAACTGGTGTCAAGATATTAAGATATCACAAAGTTTTTGAACCATGAAAAACACGTCAAGTTAAGTTCTACAGAACTTGTACCATGAGCGTTCATTTTGAACGGAGAAATACGAGAACCAGCACAAGACGGAAGAGAGAATTTTAGTTCAGTTTGTCTGAAGTTGTTTGACCACATTTTTTGCATAAAAACGAAGTACAAAAACTGCTAAACCTAATGATGGTCGTAGTCGTTTAACCATTCTTTTATTCGAATGAAATGAACAACGCTTCATCGTCTCCTCATTGATCAGTCCACCATCCATTTAATTTCACGTAGAGTATCGGTAAATACATGAACTGTCCTGATGACTTGTAAAAAAAGAATCATTTAGTACTTCACTCAAAACGAAGCTACATAAACCTTGCAGGAGAAATACAAGATTTCTATATTTTGATAACAACTCAACAAATAAGGAGCTTTTTTAACACTTTTTACACAAGGTGAATCTAATGCGGACACTGGCTACATTTGAATTGAATAGAACAAAACAGATGTAAACTCAGTCTGACGAACAAAATAGCATATAGCGACATTTTGCTACATATGCGAGAAGAGATATCTTCTTATTTGCTGGGTACATAATGAAACTTTGCCAGCAACTAGTCGTATTCGAGTTCGAAACCATCCTAATGTTTAGTCTTAACTGTTTTCACCTTGCAGAAATAATAAGATAATACTAATAAAATTTGATTCAATCTATGCAAGATCTTCTCATAACAACAACAAAAATATAGAGTATAGAAAATAAAATGTTTATGTATGAAAATAGACTAGTCTAATACGTTTTGTGTTTCCATGATGAAAATAAAAATAAAATAAAATATACAAATATTATTGTCTTGTTTTTTATTTTTAAACATTATCATCATCTCCATCAACTGCTATTTGAATTTGCTGTTGTGTAGGATCTAAACTTTGTTGTTTTTCACTCGATTGTGGTGGTGTTGGAAACAAATTTTCAATATTTTGAAATGGTGCGGATGAACGACTTGAACAAGCTACTGTTATTGCAGGCATTGTTTGACGAATGGCATGAACATTTTCCTTAAATAGAAATAATAATTTATCAATACGATTTATCTATATTAAAATGAAAATCTTACCAAAAGTTTCACGGATACATTATGTATTTGAATTGTATATTCTTCTTCTGTTGGAACACCATTTGGTCGAGGTGGTATCAATAATGGTTCATCCGATAATACTTTGTAAAACGGTTTCATCCATTCCATACAGCAAGCCAATTTAGCTTCAGTTAATGCTAGAAACAAAAACATCAAAATCTGAATGTGTTTCTATAAATGAACAGTCATTACTTACACGTGATTTTTTCATATGGCCAATCATATTTATATGTTAATAATGCTGAACAGGCAATTATATTTTTCGGAAATTGAGAATATTCAACATCCAATGTACACAAATCAATTAGCTAAAATAGAATATCTAGTATACATCATTTTGACGATTATAATGTCAGCAACCTACTCTGGCCACTTGTATAAATGTTGATTGATAGTAAACTGATTGAGTAATATCAGAAACTGTATGTGTTTTTAATACATCAGTCTCATCATCTAATGATGTGATAGCTAATGAAAGTGGTGTTAACCACGGTTGTGATAATAAATTACGTGAAAAAGATGATGTTGATACACGACGCTTTTTATTATATTGTTCACCGTTAAAACGATGACATTTATCTTGATTTACACACAATTCATATTCCAATTGTAAATATGTTGATAACCAACTAATTGCTGTCATTGGCGAAATAAACCAATTTAAAGTCTAAGCAAAGAAACATTTTTGATATAGAAGAAAAAATAATCAGATAGAAAAACATGAATGATACCTTTAATAAATCAATTTCCAAATCTAATATATCATCTTCGCTACAAGCTTTATCTGTTACGTAGGCAAACTCACCAATTCGTTGTGGATAAATTTCCTAAGAAAACAGCAATATTGAAAAAAAAAGAGAAATAAAATCAGTTTCGTTCACCGACCTCAATTTTAGCAGCAGCAAACAATGATGTTGTGCCAAGTAATTGTAATTTGTGTTTTGGTACGTTTTTAACCTTTGATAAATATTGATCAATATAATCAATGGCAATATGATATGTTTCACGATGAAGATGAAAAACGTCGGAAACCTATAAAAAAAAGAATTTTATATTTATAATGCACATTGAAATAGATAGACGATATTATTACCTCCATTACCCAATCACATAAAACACTACGCATTTTTGTTTGTAATGCCGGATGTTGATCAAGAAATAATGGTCGACATTTATAGACCTCATTATTTGTTTTGTAAATCATATTTATCCATAATTCATTTGATTTTGTCCATATTGGTGAAACTGTTTCTGATCGTAATTTTGGTATTGGTTCTGTGTATATAAAAACCAACTATTAGATAATAATGAACTTAATTGTATGAAAAAAGTTATACCTGTTGATAAAGCACTAGCAGAGGATGAATGAAATGAACTGTTTTCGTTCTCTTTGTCACCATTTTGTTGCAACTAGATATTAAAAGAAAACGATGAAATGAGAAACCGTTATTTAAGCCAGAAGCACCATAATATCTCTAAAACTATATAGATACTTTACATTTGATCTATAACTTCTGATTTCAGTTACGAGGACAAAATATGAAGTGGTGTTTCATTAATAGTAATTATAATTATTCAATTTACTTTTAAAAATAAAGCTTGTCGTCGATAATCAAGTATTGGAGATTGTCTTTGATTAAACATTATTATTATGTGATTAGACACAAAAAAGAAATTATGTTAAAAAAATAGTTAAAGATAATCTCTTATCCAGCTTGTGATAGTAGACAAAGCCATTTTTCATCTAATAATTTAAACTACATAGAATATTCACTCATTTTTAATAGTAAACTAAAATTTTGTACGTTTCAACTTTTGACCACCTTATATATATAGACGAATAAAAACAAGTCATAATGTGAATGTTACGTTGGAAAAAGAAAGAAACAGAATACATACATATATACGGTCTCATTCAAAATGGGACGAATGTGAACACGATTTCCTTCTCCTCTCTCCCCTCCCCCTTATCGATGATCTAAATATATATTGATTGGGAAGAAGAGAGAGATGTTCAATCAGAGAATAGAAAAATGAATTTATATAATGGAGAAATTTTTTTCGTTCCACAAGTGAGACTAAAAGGTGAAAACAACAGAGAAGTATTGAAAAGAAATATCACATTCTGTAATTTGCAGCTAGAAAATGCAATAACTAGCTCCCTTTATTATTTATTCATTCAACGGAGATTAACATACTATATAAAACTGCAAATGTTATTTTAGAGATAAAGTATTTATTTATAATAAAAGGAAGAAAGGTTATTTGTATAAAAAAATTGTGCGTATTTAAAGTATTCAACGATTTGAAACGTAAACAAATAATGTAAATATTTTTCATCATGAAGAGCGATTTGATAAGTTGATACCTTGTACAATAATAATAATCTGTAAATTAGAATCGGAGCTTCTTTTTCTTTTTCTTACGTACACCTCACAGACCGTGTAAAAAGTCAACAAATCGTCTCTACAATTATTTAATAAAATGCTTTCATCAAATAGAGAGTTACTTATAGCTATTAATTATAAATAATGTGAATAGATGTAAACGTGTCAACATATCTCATTGTAAAAATTTCAAGTGATATTGAGAATTTAATCACAAAAGTTAATTTAAAAATTGTTTATAATAATATATTTTGTTTAATTTTCTCAGATTTCTCAATATTTTGACCATACAATACAATAAATTTACTATTTTTGCTTTGTTCAATTTGTACAAGTGAAGACAGTTTTTCTCTTCTACTTTCAATACTTCCTATATTGAAAGTGTATTAATTTATTTTCTTCAACTTCCATGTATATAACAAATATCATAATAATAATCATTTATTTAGAAAAATAAAAAACAAAAATAATTCACATAATATAAAAGATAATCTTTATATAACTACAAATTTTACATTCTTTCTTATACATGCACATATTTTTATTATTAAAGTTAAATTTATACATTATTTGTTCTTGTATGATTTTGTTCTTCTCACTTTCATTAAAAGTCGAAAATCACTGCAGCGAACATATCGCACATACTAGACAAGACCTAAGAAATATTACAAAAAGGTCCTGTGTAGATTGTGCAACACCTTCAGCAGCATAACGAAAAATCAATATAAATATTATAAATCCAGATGAACGAATTATTTTCTATAAACAGAAAAGAAATATATCTCTCGTTTATGTTTACAAATATATATCTAAAAATTAGTTACTCATTAAAATTGTACATATTATTCTCAGATATTTTCACTATTTTTCATATAAATAAGCAATATACATCACTTGAGTAGGAAAAACCGAATAATTGATAGAATTTTTTTCTTTTTAAAAAGTAAACTAAATATTATTGAGTCTCAATATAGAATAATAGGGTACTCTAGAATTCTAAACCGTCAAGGAGTTAGTTAATAAATAAATTATTATACATCTCCTTCAACTTCTTTCCCGTAGATTATATACAAAAGAATATTTAAATTAAAAACACTAGTAACTTACACTTCTTTCTACAATAAATAAAATTTATCTACTAAAAATTTTGAAATATGACTGAACTATTTAAGAGAAGAAAAAAAACACTGCTCTACGTAGTATAAATCAAAAAAAAAAAAAAAAAACGAAGAAAAACGTCAGGTGTTTATAAAGAACGAAACATATGTGCATAAAATTCATTGTCTTCTTAATTAAAATGGTAGTACTACAGACATTTTTTAGAAGTAGAAAAGTATTCGCATGATAGAGAAAATGTATACGAATGATAAAATTTGATATGGGTAATGAAATTTGTTGCACAGACATTTTTCATGCAACAACAGCAATTTAAAAATTACGAAAGATAAGCAATGGAACAGTTGTAAACAGAAAAAATGCCGGTTAATTTTTGAAGAAGAAAAAAAAAAAAAAAAGAACAACTGTTTCATTAATAACATGAAATAGTTTTCGATAATAGACAATGATTTATCGTATTACGATAACAATACATTAGCAATAGACATATCATTTAAGAGTAATACATAGTTAAACATTTCCATTTTCTCCGAAATCATACACGACTCGTTTTTGGAGAAAAAAAGGGCATGTTATGAAAACAACAGAAATTTCTCAATTTATAGTTTAGTCTTGTCAATTACAACAATAAGGACTCAAACATTGTAATAATATTCATAGTAAAAAAAAAGAAAATCTTCACATTTTTCTCTAGGATGTTTAATGATCAAATGAATTACTTTGATTCTCCTTAAATTCTGGATTAAGTAGAATAAATGTTGCGCTTAACTCTTGTTTTCACAGATAAAGTCTGAAAACTTTCTAAAATAAAAGCCTGAAAACTTCTAAAACTGTTAAAATTAAACGATTATTCTTATCCTAGTGAATCTTCACAATTTAGTTGATCTCAAGTATTTTCATCACTAGGAACTAAAACATTAGAGAAAAAACCAACTAGAGATGTAAGATCAGTATTCATACCTTAAATGTTTCAATCAAAAAAAAAAAGAAAAAACATTTTTTTTTTACGTTTCTTCTCTAACAATTTTTTGATAGTTTTTATTTTAAACAAATCTTTTGTTTTTTCTTCTTCTATTTCTCTTCATTATTTCTCAAAATGAAACGAAAGTTTTTCTATTTTTTTTTTTTTATTTTTTATAACGAGAACAAATTATCGTTTAAATGATTGCTAAGTCACGCATACGTATTGTGAAGCGGTATTAAAGTATATTTATATTTTATTTACAAGCACCATTTTATAATAATACACGTGTATGTAAAATAAAAAACGTTTCTTTTCTTTTATTCTCATTTTATTTTAAAGTCATTAACAATAAATTAAAGTTTAAATTTATGAAAGATTTTATCATAGATCGAAAAACAAAATGTGAAATTTTGTTACTTACACTTTCTAAAGAACATCTTTAATGTACATAATACGAATTGATATACGTCATATTCTTTAGTAAAAATACATCGATGATATTCAATACTATTTGTTATGTGAACAAAATCATGAATTTTATACAAATGTTGAGAAAATTGAACGAGGAAAAAAAGTAAAATTGCAAACTATCTTTACTGAAAAATGACTTCGTTAGAAAAATGCAGAGATTAACACGAGAGATTTTCAAAAAATTCGCTTTTTATTCGGTAAAAAACCTATTACTCTTGAAATGTCAACAATTGACGTTTTCTCCCTTCGACTCCTTAAACATGTTAGAAAGTAATAATGAAACTCTAAAAATGTCCATGTCAATTTGTAGATTTAAATAAACACTTTAATTTGAAATAAGTATGCGCTTCGTAGCGATCGTCAAATATAAAAACATATACCGTAGGAACAATTTCATTTTACATCTTACATCATTTCTAATGTTTAAATATTTTGTGCTAAAAATTTATCATCACCTATTGATATAATTGACTTTAATCTCTTAAATTTTTGAAGTCAAATTAATTGTACGATAGAGAGAAAAAAGATTGCATAGAATAGATTCTTAACATATTTTGTCTGTTCTTCTACTTATGACAGAAATAAATAGCAAAAGAGACAAGAAAACACAACAACATACACATTATATTACAAACAACAAACCACCAAAAAACTCGACGAAACAAACTGTTTTTCTTCTATATATAATTAATTCATTCAATATTTTCTCCAGTTTATTTCCTTCAACAGTATCAATTAATGTCTTTTTCTCTTCTACGTGCAAACAAATTGTATAGATCATTTTTTTTTTTTTTGTTGAAGGAAGGAATGCAAAAGTATTTATTTCTTCGTTATCATCATCATTCCTTACACATTAGAAGATAATCACAAAGAACACAAACATATTTACAGCAGACTAAAAACAACATTTGCATCTCGGTTACTACTGAACATAAAAAAACATAGGAGTAATTTTACCAGTATGTAATGTTCTTGCACTTGTTTAATCAACTTCTTTCTAGTAAAAAAATTCTCTTCCCATTTTAATTTCAACAAAAATATTGTTGTAGAATCAATATATGAGAGAAACGTAACTTTCTGGTACAATCGATAAAAAAAAATGAAAATGTTCATTAAAAAAATTTGAATAGTACGTTTTGTTCCCCTGTCTTTGCCGAGTATCCTATAAAAATTTCCCAACTGCCAGACTCATACTGGCTGAGTTAGGAGGGAGACAATTTTCGGTTTTTGCCATAGAGAATTTTTAGCAGGATTTTGCTAGAAAAAGGGTTGAAATAGATGTATTCTACATTGTTCGACAGAGAATGATTCGAGCAGTACAGTGGAACTGTGAGCAAATGCGTCGAGCCGAAAACCGCAGAAAATTTTTTTCATTCTTTAGTGTTAAAATCTAAAAAGTTCGAATTTCGTTGTGATTCTACTTTCAGAATTATTTATTATTTTAGCAAAGACTATAGATTTTAGAGCTCCAAAAATTAGGTAGTCAAACTCGCCACAGTCTGAGGAGTCGACTGGTGTACGGTATTAATGGTTTTCGTTTGGCTTAGACCAAAAATCTCACGAAAAAAGGTTGGTCTACATTTAGTTAAAAACAAAAGTCGGTCTACATTTTCCCCTATAATGTAAAAATAGTAAGGAACAAAATGAGGATTCGATCTGAAATTACTTTTGCT